ATATGCTTACGAAGGTTGTGACAACTATCAAATTCCAACATTGTTTGAATTTGATAAATGTTGTGCACAACTTGAAGATTGGCGCTTGACAACGCATTTGAAGACACCACCGAATTTGAGGGAAAAAAATTTTTATTTTTGGTGGGATTAGAAATTATGCCAAGGTGGAGATTTGTTGAATTCAAAGCCAAGCCTCAATTGATGACTTTTTCAAGCCAAAATTGAGGACTTTGAAATCTTTGGCCTAAGTTTCTAAATCCCACATCGGTTAAGTTTAACATTTGAGAGGTTGTTTGAGAACTATAAATAGCTCTCAAACAAACCAATTCAAGTACACCAAGCAAGAGCCAATAACTTGCTTTCTTCTCTCTCTTTGTAATATTTCTTCTAGTGAAATATTAAATTGTCGGTAGTGTCCGAGGACGTAGGCAAATTAGCCGAACCTCGTTAAATTCTGGTGTTCTATTTTATTGTCTATTTAGTAGCTATATTTGTAGGTATATTTGTAGTGAGTTATTGTGCAATTAAGTGCATATATAGGTGATTCTGTCTAGGAAATTGGTACTTCAGCAGGCCAGTGTGCCTCACCAAATATTTCCTGGGAATTACCATTTTGCAATTTTAGGTACAATAATTTACTCGTTATACCTTAACTTTGGTAGGGCTTCCGCAACAAGATCTGCACTGCCGGAACGAGGGTCTGATCTCAAAGAATTGATGCAAAATTGAGGATTTTTTGAGCCAGAGCAAACATCACCGATCAAATCTGCTTCAGAGGTAAAAGGATTGCCTAGGATTGATAGACAAATTAATAGCAAGGCTAACAATGATGGGCTATGGCTCCTAGAGAACTCCATTATTCAAGCATAAGAAGAACTCCATTATTATGCAAATCAATAAATCAATTTTGCGCCCGTGAATTGTGCTTTCTGCCATGAATATACCACGGTGTTGAGATTCATCACACGAAACTAATATATGTTATTGACTTTTTATCACCGTCTGTTGTACAGTTTGTCTAAGGTCTGGAAAGCTTTCGAAAAGGCATTTGCTAGATTTGGCCGATAAGATTAGTTTATGTCCGATGAATAATGTTTTATAAATATACACTATATAGTGCAAAAATGTACAATAATTAGACAACCATTCTAGTATGAAATTGTCAACCGTATCTATCCGTAGTTTGTTTTTGCCATGACCTAACGTCACAGTTTTGTTCATACGGCAAAGGACGCTTCCACGATTATTTACCCTAGTTTCCAACGTTACAAATGGTGAAGGTTTTAGATCTGTCACCACATTTTACACAATTCATGTATAGCAACAATTTTAACAGAAAGTTTCTCAAATAGGCACAAATTGACAGCATAGCATGTACCACTAAGAGTTTTGCCAGTCCAAAGTGAATTAGTGAATTGCGCACGAACTTTGCCAATCCAAAGTGAATAACATTTGATGTGCCAATACAATCGTGCAACTCCTTATACGAACCTGTAATACACTAAATTACGCCAATGTTAAATTGCTTTAAATAAATATATAGACACCATTCCAATGAATTTGCCAAAAAGAAAAATTGAAAGAACAAAAAAGATAGAGTGTGTGTGTGCGCGCTTTCACGGCCCAATCATCTTTAGAAATTGCTTTTATTCTGTAATTTTGTGGATGATACAAAACATACTGGTGTGAGTACCCGAACTACACACAGTGCTGATATTATATTGAAAGAAATTAAAAGAGAGGGTGAATTAAAAAAGAAGTAAAAAAATTGTACCAACATAATTAAAATCTAACATTCGTTTAGCAATAGTTCAAAGTATGATAAAATGTATACATCATTCAAGAACTACGCGTTTATTGTGGAAGATGGATCCTAAAATAATAATAGAAATTTATATTAGAAAATGAATTATATATGGATAGGAATAAATATAATCGCATGTTTTATTTGATTTCAAAATGAAATACTTATAAACATTATGCATTCGATTCGATAATCTTGTAAAAAAGTGTGAACATTTTTCACACAAATCAACCTTCAGTATGAAAGCCAATATTCGTGATTTAATTGATTCTGTTGAATTTTGTGGAGTTCATACTACAAAAAAAAATATTCAGTGAAACTTATCTTTCTTGAAAGTGAATTTGCTGAACCTTTTGAAGTATTTTAGTGGGATCACTGTAGACTTTGTTTTGTGATTAGTTATTTTCTTCTTTATTTAGAATTGAGGCACTGCCGAAATGCTTGTTGGTGGGATTCATCCATGGTGTGAGAGTATAATGGGTAGTCTTGTTTTTTTTTTTTTCTCACTGTATTTGGTTTGTGTGGATGACAAATGAAAATGAGTTAGTGATCATCAATCTTTGAATGATTGTAAGAGTAAAATATGTTATGATAATAAAATGCGTAGAATTGTGGGAATTTTGAGAACTGTAATTCAAATGGGTTCCTAAATTTTGGATATGTGATTTTCGTAGTGATGAGTTTTCTTAAATTATTAGTTAGTTATTATTAATTAATTTTGGAGTTTTAATTTTGTGGGTTAGTGAGTCATCCATTAGTTAAAATTTTGGAGTTTTAATTTTGTGAATTAGTGAGCCATGGAAATTGGAAAGTGGAAAGGGATAAGGGGAAGCGGGATTACTGAATTAAATAAATTTAAAATTGTACTAAAAAAGAATTCAGATTTAGAACGCTTGTGGAGGTTACTCGTCAAAAACACTTGGTGTCTAATACATATAAATATAGATTTGTTCCAAGAATGCGGACGAAACCCACCAATTCATTCGTTGATAATCGAAGTAATTGAGGCCACGTGTTAAGAGAATCTCAGTAGTTGTTTCCATGTACACAAAAAGCAACAGTCCATGTATTAAAAAAAATAAAAGCTATCACTTTATGCGTTACCTATTTTACCTTTCTTGATTAACCACTTTTATAACCACAATCCATCATTAATTACACTCATACACCACAAAAAATAAGAATGATACTGCAAAATAAACGAAAAAGGGTAACTGCAAGCTAAAGTTTTGGTAACTACCCAAATAGAATATCATACCTATGACTTATGGCCCCAAAAAAATCCGATTTTTAATGCTCTTAATTAATTACCTATGAGTGTATAACCATCTGCAGCAACCAACTGAGCAAAAACTAATACAAGAAAAGAAAAGCAAACTTAGTCAAGAAAATTAAATTATTTCATGTAACACTAATTTCCATGTAAGAGATTAGGAATGCCTTCTGTTCGGAAAATTAGACGTGTGTAAGAGAAACTTATTACTTGTTGCAATGAAATAAAAAAAAAAGAGGAAAAAAACACTAATTTCCATGCATTTTTTTCTTTTTACCTTTTTGTAAAGAATAAAAAACTAGTAATTGCACACACACATAGTGTGCCATGCCTTTAATAAAAAAATCTAACAAAATCCACAATTCATAATATTTAATTCCATTCCCAAAAATTCAAGCCTTGTTCTTTTCTCTATAACCAATAGTTAAACAAAATGATTGCGTAATATAATTTTAGGTTGTGCTAGGAACTGAGAAAGTTAACTTCTACGTCTTGGAGTTTTTTGCCGAAATAATTTTATGTGGTGGTAGGAACTATGAACTAGGAAGGTTGCGTTATTCCCATGTACAACTTGATGTAATATACCCTTTATAATATTTGATACCCCGTGGACTTTCAATGTAAAATATTGAATTCAAATACCACTTCTACATTTACACGATACCCTCAATCTCCTTTTTTTTTTTTTTTTTGGATTACAGTATGAGTTTTATTATATGAGGTGTATGAAATCCACTTATTCAAGCTTCATTGTTTCAAATTAGCGTTCTCTGGGCAAGAATTTCAATAGGGTAAATCATTTGCATTGTTTTACTATTCATAGTAGAACGATTATTTAAAAAGAAAAGGATTTTGAATTTGAGCATACTTTTTCCTCTTTTTTATTATTAGTGGTACATATTATTTTATGACAATACAACTTATTTTAAGCATTTTGGTTGCCTTAGTTTTTTTTTAATGTAATGCATACATGTTTTTCAATTTTCTTTGAATATTTCTCCATAAAATTTCCATATATTGGTTTCCTGTTTTTAGTTGACCCCTTGAGGTTTTTCCATGCTTTCTACTATCTACTGTAGAAACAGAAAGACGTTTCATGCCTTTTTTCTGAATCAAGAACATATATACTTATAAAACTAATTTTTTGTCAATTGACTCTTTTCCTTTCTTTCCTCTTTTTTTATGAAGATAATCCTTATACAATTATTTTTTGTCAATTGACTTTTTGCCTTTTTCCCTCCCTTCTTACTGAAAGATATCCTTATATAATATTTTTTAAGATGAATTCTTATAGGTAATTGTTGGATATTATTTTTAGGAATATATTTAGCTATTTATTCAAGTAAAGGTAATTTAGAAAAACGTAAAGTATTATTGAAGAAAGATTCGATGCCTTCAGTAGAGGGAAATTTTGAAAAGTTGTGGACTAAGTGAGATATAAAGGGAATATGATTTAAAAGTTGCTACTATGGGAACATTTTAAAAACAAAGTTATTTCAGAAATAAACTCTATGTCCTGCATTTATAATGGAAATATATATATATATATATATATATTCAAATTTGAAGAGTAACTGCTAAAAGAAGTAAGTGCTGTAAAAACAGGCTAAAAAAGTATAACTAATTCAAAATTTTAAACAAGAATTACACAACTAGAGTAAATGCCAAAAAAGTAAGTATTAAGTTTTGTACACATAGCATTCGAGATCTTTTCCTTTGGAAAGTAAAGAAATTTTTCCAATAAATCTGTAAACAAGAATAACACGACTAGAATAATTAACTATTAAAAAGGTAAGCAGCAATAAAGAAATATTTGAGTTTCCTTTTGCGTCCAATTTTGCGAGCTTTATATGTGTAGTACCACCATTGAGTTCCACAGAAGAAGAACAACACTTCAAGGAAGAGAAATTAGAGGAGAAAATAATGGAGTTCTCTAGGAGCCATAGCCCATCATTGTTAGCCTTGTTTTTAATTTGTCTATCAATCCTAAGCAATCTTTTTACATCTGCAGAAGCAGATTTGATCGGTGATGTTTGCTCTGGCTCAAAAAATCCTCAATTTTGCATCAATTCTTTGAGATCAGACCCTCGTTCCGGCAGTGCAGATCTTAAAGTTCTTGGCCAAATTGCTATAGACTTATCTACAAACAGCACCAAATCAACCAAAGCCCTGGTTGATTCCCTGAAGCAAAAGGCTAGCGACGCCAGATTGAAGGCAATATACGATTCTTGCTTGGATAACTATGGTGACTCCATCGATGATCTTGCCGATGCTACGACAAAATTGGGTTCTGGTGATTATCAAGGCGTGGCTCTTACAGCATCGGCTGCATTGGATGGCCCTGATACTTGTGATGACAATTTCACGGATGCAAAACTAACAGAACCACCAAACCTTGCCGAGGCTAGTCAGAACGTGCAAACTCTAATTGAAGTTGTTTTGGTTATTGCAAATCGTTTGCAAGGAAATAGATGAAGAGACATAAATCTGTGCTTTAATTAGTGCAGTCTATTTGTGATTTCAGTTAAGTTTTGCAACACTGTCACTTCTGGCTTATTACAGATGCAATGATGAAATAAGAGTATTAATTATTTTTTTTTTTGGGGTGTTGTTTAGGTAGATTGACATTTACTATTAATATTGCCAAAAACAAAAGTAGAAAAAGAAAAAACAAATTAGAATGCTTTAATTGCCTAGTCATATTTAGAGTTCATACCCAATATATTTGTTGCGGAAATGCATATGAACAATAAAATTTATTCCTTTATAAGAATAATTGTGTATTAATTTACAAATCTAAATTTCTAATTATCCTGCATAATAGGTTTTTTACTGTAAATTATAAGTCATGTAGTTGATATAAAATTTGTAACAAAAATAAGAATTAAATATCATAATTCTCTCATTTAAAAGATATGTATGGATGGCATTGTAGAATTTTTCTTTTTATTTTTTAATTTTTCTAGAGGGTAAGGGTAGGGGTGGTAACCCCCCCTCCCCCCCCCCCTGCAGGGGGCTAATTTTTCCCCTTGGGGGGTGGGTTGGGGCGGGGACAGGGGAGTATACCCCTGTCCTATCCCCCGCCCCGCCAGTCGTTAAGAAAAATTATATATATAATATTTAATTTAATTAGTTATAAATTTATGATAATAATATTATTAGTTATAAGTATTATATAATGAATATTAGTATATATAATATAATTAATATTATCAATTATACAAATAATTATACATGTCTACTAATAGAATAATATTATTAATTAATTATACTAAATTTACTATACTAAATTCCTAATTACACTTAACACAATAACATTTTTTTCTTAAAAAAAAAAAAGCAATAATGACTTGGTTATTGTATTTTGTCTCAAAAGTCAAAACTTAATTACTTTAATTGTATTTGTCTCATCATGTTGGATTGTATTCAAATAATTATTTTTTAATTTTTTTTTATGAGTTTCAATTATGAAATTATAGTGCATAATGACTTAGCAATGTGTTGGTATTTAAGTACTTAAATTTTGGTTAAAATTTGGCTACTATGCAATTGTAGGACAAATTTTTTTAGCCCCCTCCACAAGTGCCACCTCAACGAAACTAGGGCGAGCCGGGGACGGGCCGTGGGGACAGGGGAAGGGTCCCCCAGCCCACCCCTGCTCTGCTGCTATTCCTAGGTAAGGGTGGAATTTCAAAAGTGTGATAGGTGCAGGGAATTAGAATTCAAAATCTCTAATTTCTGGGTTATTAGATATGTAACTCCTCCTTTTTCAAAAGAATTGTAACTTTCAAAATATGTCTCCAAAACCTCCCAAAATCAATTCCTTCCATGTAACTCATTGAAAATTTCGTCAACTTTATTTAATTTTTTTATTTTTTACAGTCAACTTTTTTTTTAAAATTTTTATAGTCAACTTTATTTATTTTAATAACATTCACCAAACATTGCAGTGGTGTCCTTTGGATTGCTAGTTTTTTAGGAATATAGTTAAAATGTTTCTTTGATACAATTTCCAGTAACCTCTTACCTCATATACTTTAAATCATATATTTTTCTATAAAAACTCCAATCCAAACAAGGTGCTGAAAATATTTACGACTCCAGATTAAAAGTGCATTAGGAGTTTTGTAATAACCTGCTTGCAAACCTCTCTCATACCCCAAAATTTTTTTATTTTTTAGGAAAAAATATAACTTAAAATAAAGTTTAAAAATTATTTCAATCTTGTGAATCCATTTCTCTATAATTGATATTACATAAAATTAAAATCAATTAATGTTATTTTTTTAAAGTACATGCCATAACAAAAAATGAAAATGTAAACTAACATAACAAGTATAACATTTAACCACAAAAATATTAACAAGAAGGATTATATTATTTTATCATAAAAAAATCACATTATCAATTTCATATTACATCTATATAATTATATTATATTATGTACTTTATATTTATACATGTAATATTAAAAAAATTAAACAAAGGGTGGGGGATAGGGCACGGGTGTCCTTGCCGCCCACCCCTCATTTAAAAGCAAGGGAAGAAAAGCTCCCTCCGCCCTTGCCCCCGTCCCAGTGAACTCTCGTAGGCACTGCCTTGTTGCCATCCCAATGAAAATAGTTTGTTACTTACAAAAATTTCAAGAACTGCTATTAATTGTCATTAACTTCTCATATTCTCTCAATATTTTTTCTTAATAACCAAATGTTTATGAGAAACTCATTTTCATTTTCCTTTACCTCATTCATCAATGAAAGAGTTCCCTTTGAACATATAAGAGTCCCAGTTAGTTTAAATTAACAAATTAAGTGGATTCCACTTAACATGTCCAAATGAAACTTTTATATTGATTTTAAATCAACTATTAGACATGTCTAGTAATTGTTCGGAACTCACATAATACTTCTAGTCCAATAGGCATCCGTATATCAAACCTTACTTAGAAAAGTACTAACTAGTACCTGTTTCTCACCCACGGCAAAATCCATTGAAACTAGAGCAAGCAGCTCAAGCCTTACGAAGCAAGTGCCTAACTCATTCAATCGATATGATTAGAGATATAGATTAAGAATTTACCATGCTGGAAATTACAAACAATGAGGTATTCTTCTTTGGACATTATGTTATATGAATAGAAAAATGTCAATCAAAATGTATTAAATGCTAGGTTTCTCAACTCTCGATTATTTTCTTTTTTAAATCTATTTGTAACTATAATCCAATTCCGAAAGCACTACAAAAATTACTTAGAATCTCTTAATTTGTCTCCGTTTATTGATTTAGTTTGCTATAATCCAATATGCTCATTAGACACTTGTGTAATTGCGATCTTTAATGATACCAATCAAAATGCATTAGAAAACACTGGCTGAACTAGCAACTAACCTGTGGGGGTGTAAAACTGTTAAATTGTATACTTCAAAGGAGTTGTCTTGCAATTTTTGCAAAACGTTAGGGGGCAAAGCTAATTTGGTCAAAGGTATAATTCAAAATATTAACTATTTTAAGAGGATATAATAGATTTTCTAAAGGTCAAGATCTAAATTTTATAAGGATATATGTGAAATTTTCAAAACTTTTTGAAGGTATATGAACGAATTTGTAAAATCTTGGGGGGTGGTTGCCCTTCCCCAACCCACCTACCCTAAAACCGAAAAGACTTCCGCCAGTTTTAGAAATGATACAGGCTGTGTCTATGGTACGAGAATAAGAACATAGGTTGGAATTTTTCATCTCTACTTTTGTTGATTTCATTGAAATTCGCGTGGGACCAATATGTACAGAAGACTTAGACAGGAAATTGTAGAAGAGTATGAAATGGAATTGTTCTTATTAAAAAAAAAAAAGAATTGTTCTCATTAATCATATACCGCAAAAATAGCCGTAATAAGTAGGCATCCGGTGTTAAGTTTCAAGATTAAAGGGATTTTATTTTTTTAGGTGATTGAGTTTTAATTCAAATAAGTCCCCGAAAATGGAAACAAGAGTCAAGAAAGAAAGAATTGAAAGCAATTCAAAACGTAAGAAATATGGAAACAACTGAAGAAGTTAAATATCCTTTCTCATGAAAAGTAATTGAATTAATTCATTAACCTGCCTTCAGAATTACACAATCTAACGCCTATAGCTATACGGGTTTGTTGCCTAGAAATACCCATGGAGAGGTAAAAGTAAAACGTGTGGAGAGGTAAAAGCTCTCTATTTTATTTATGCTAAACACCTTATAGAGAATACATAAAAAGACAGATATGGATAGTAAGTTCGATATAAACTACGCATATTAATTAATTAATGCGTCTACCAACTAGTAAATCCCATTCTCGTAATATAAGGTTTCAAACTCCGGTAACTTGTCATCCAATTTCAGTTTTGATTAGAAGTTGAAAAATATATGAAATCTGTCACAAACATAGAAAACAAGAAAAAATTAACCAACAAATATAGTATCTGTGTATGTTTCTTCCAACATTACGGAAGAAATTTTCAGTCTAAACCTTCTATATGCCACTAATGAAGTCTTTCTAATATACCCTGTCTAAAATCAAATAAGAAAGACAGTGATTGTAATGACCAGAAAAGAAAAGGATATATTGTCCTCATTCTTATTTTGTAGGGTTCATCTAATTTAAAAGTCACATTCCTAACCCGCACATACCAAATACGTGACATCTCTCGTATTCTAAAGTTTCACTTAAGAAATGCAAGGCAACATATCAAAACGAGTAATACTAATCTAGAAAGTGTTAATATTAATAAAACTAGTTATATTGCGATCCAATTCCGAACTAGAAATCGTCTAAAATATTCAAATGAGTCCACACGCTCAACAACTAGTAGAAATAAGTCATAGAGTGTTAAGCGTTCTAATATATCCAAAAGCGGCATCACTACTGAATCCCAAGGACATATGCTCTAGTGGAAATCATCTTCCGGGTCTTCGATGTAGACTATCTTATAATTCTCGAGGTTTGCAAAAATGATATAAGAATGGGTTGAGCAATAAACACTCAGTAGGCAGAACATACTCCTCTGCTGGACTATGTAGTTGTAGCATAATATAGAATAATAACATTTGTACATTCTTCACATGCATATTTGTTCAAATACATAATCAAACTAATATCACGTAATATTAGTGAATGGCAATGGCAACTTGTGATTCATAGCATGGTATAATCGTACATAAGAAATCTTATGATAAGGCATAATTTGTAGTATATTTATTTGTATAATTGCTAATTATTTATGCTATTTAAGCTTTAATTCAAATGAAAGTTACTTATTTTTTGTTCTTATATTATTTTAATAGGTGGAGAGCTTAAATGGAGAAAGTGGATCAAACTTGGTATGAGGAACTTAGCAAAGGAGCAACAAAAGAAGAAGGACAAAAGACAAATGAGGGATGCTAAAGTTAAATGGATCCGCGGGTGGATCCACAGCAATCCGCGGGTGAATCCATGTCCTACGCTAATCATCAGTTTGGACTTACGCCAGATTTTTCTTCTGATTCTTTTATGTTTTGAGCTTGACCCAATGTCCAACGCCAGATTTTGAGCCGGTCTTCATGGGAAAATGCATAAAAATGTGATTTTTCAATTCCGATAAAACCTAATCCTACCCAAATTAGAATATATTTTGAAGAAACTATACATAAGGGCATTCTAGGTCACTTTTAGCTTAGAAAACACTGGGATAATGTTTACACTGCAAGAAATTTGGTCTTTTGTGACAACATTCTCAGTGACAACAAAGAAACTTGTCACAATTGAGCAAATTTAGTGACAACTTTTGATATCATCATAGTTGATCGAGGGTAGACTCATCATTAGTGACAACATGGGATAAGTCGTCATAATATATATGGCACGCAACTGGCCGGTGTGGTGGGAAATCACCATTGTGACAACTGAAAAAAACATTGTCACTAAAATGGGCCATACAGTGACAACTTACAATATCTTTACAATGGGATTACTAGTTCAAAGTTAATGACAACAATTAGTCGTCACTGTCTAAAATATTTGTTCCTAACTCACTTTCATTAATTCTACTATGTCACCCTAATTTTTTCAATATGGCCCATATGTTGTAAATAAATTTTATTAATTCTTTTATAACACCCTAACTTTTACATTTTAACCCCATATGCGGTAAACTAATTTCATTAACTCTACCTTGACACCTTATCTTTTGCAATTTAGCCTCGTATGTGATAAACCGATATCATTAGTTCTATTATGGCACCCTATCTTTACACTTTAGCCAATGTTTTTTATTAGCAAAATGAGGAAGGTAATGTAATAAAAAATGTATACATATTTAATAATTGTTCCAAACTTAGATAATAACTTGTTATAAAGTTAAAAAATATCATGGATTCCCTATCTAGTTCTCTTGACAAACATGGAAAATTACTGATTAGCATAGTGTGAAAATAATGGCAAAGAACAATAAAATTTAATATGAAATTAAGTAAAATGTTGACAATTGCATGACTAGAGTTTATTATTAATTACAATAATCACATTGTTTATGGTTTATGAATCGGTACTTGTACCAAATACATTTAGTGTTTCATGCATGTATTAGCAAACTATTTTGGTTATTCTATCAACTAAACAAATTGTTAGGTCTTGTCAAACCACAATTCGTACATAATTCATAAAATTATTAAATTGATATAAAAAATATTTGGATTAAAAGATTTTTTAAATTCATAAACATATTTTTAATAAGCTTTTTAGTTTTTGAATATTATTTTTTCATAGAGATCCAAAAAAACCTATGTTAGTAAAAAAAATTATCCTAAAACACTAAATTTTCATATTCCAAAGTTTTAATACAACTTGTGAGCTAAAAAAGCTCAAAATAATAAAAAATTTTAATTACACAAAGATGAGGAAAAGAAAAAGAGAGATATTAGAGAATGCGTTATTTTTGTAAAGAAAGGTTCAAATAATTTGTACAAAAGAGGATGAAAACATTATTTTTTTGGTCTTAGCTAAAATGGAAGCCAGAAGCTAAAAATTTAAGGAGTAGAGGCAAGTGAACAAAAGAAGCAGAAACAACGTCGTTTAGGCAAGAGTTAAACAAAACACTTCGAAAAATTTCAGACAAAACTTCCTTTCCTTCTTCTTGCTAGCTTCAAAACTATCATCTTCTCCTTCTCTCCACTATCATCTTGCTGAAATTATCTAGAAAATCACTTTAAGCCACCATTTTCATCCCTAATTTGAGCTACCCAAAAGATTTTGGCAACTTTAGTAGAGTCACAGATAGCAAAAATCTCTAGATCGGTGCAGTACTTGTTTACTGGCAAGAACACAGAAAAATGAACATGAATTTTGAGAGAAAGCCAAAGTTCGAAGACTGAATTTGAAGGAAAACAAGAGGTAAGGTTGTAACAGCATAATTTGAGGTAAATAATCTCAATATTTTCCATCTAATTTTGATATTTTCTATCAAATGTAGGTCAAGTGAGCTGAATCTTGAGTTTATGGGCCCAATTTTCTACTTTAATCTTTCAACAGTGAGAGATTGAGGGAGTTGTGAGAGTGAAACGAAGTGGAAGGGAGGGTCTCCACCTCCTCCCCCTACTAAGTCAAAGGAAGAGATTAAGATTGAATTGGTAAAGTTGGATCGATTTTGTAACATTTATGTGTACCATCTATATTCAGATGGATCTTGCATAAATATCTGACAGTGACATGGCCTAATAGATCAACCAGCTTTAAATGTTATTTGTGACAGGCAACCTTTAGGTGTTATTTATAAGCAAACAAGAGCCTACTTAGAATATGTACTATCACATAAGCAGTAGTCATTCAGTCTAGATTCTGTAAGAAAACCAATGTCTTCTTGGCAGCAAAGGAAAATACAACATGTATGAATCAATTTGATGAACAACAAGTACGGTTTGATAATGCTATTAATAGTGTAATATGAGCTTTCTGAATTGTTCAACTATGGTGTACTTTAGATCTCAGAAGGAACTAGGATCTTATGAAGTTGATCAGTCAGAAAAGCATCTTCTTGGCTTTGTTCAACAAATGCTACACTTTAGGCTCAATTCTATTGAAAAATGAGTACAATTTGAACACTGTAGCTAGTGTTACAGCATGAGCCTTCTGCACTACCCGCCATACTTATTTTTGTGGTGCTTTAGATCTCATAGGATAACCAGGATCCTACCTAAAATCGGTTCTATTTCTTATGAACTAACTTGTATTGTTAAGCAGATGCTACTCTGAAGCAATTTGATATGGTAAGGAGTGCAATTAACTTGTTGCAGCTGGTCTTAATGTAAGCCTTTTGCAACCATTTTAAATTAGATCTTATATGAAAACTAGGATCCAAGCTGGATTGTCGTATAAAATAAGTTGTTTAGTCTGCATGGTATCTTATTGGCCTTGCGATGCTAACGTTAGAACATTCAGAACATTTTGATTCAAGAACAGGAGCAACTTGATCACCCTGATAGGTTTCAAACTTAAAATCTGCAATCAGAAAAAGCGACGCTTATGTTTTTGGTATTTTGGAACTGAAGTAGGACTCTGCTTTTACAAGAATTCTTCCACGAAAAAAAACTAGAAAAACTGAAGAGAAGGGAAACTCTATTTTGTTGAGTTCATCAATTGGTAAAACCTCTGCATTTTATCATCAAATCTACATAGCAACAATTTTCTGTTATGAGTATAATGAATATCAATGTGCAAATTAAATGACTAGTTTTGGTGCAGTTCTTCAAGCAACTCTCTGTACAACAATGTGGAATGCCTCATGCAAATTAATAAACAACTGCAGAAATGGTACCTCTCAAAAAAATGACTTTCCTTGTGCTTTTTAGTTCTCAACGGTTGGAATAGGTTATCATTTATGCAAGAGTTTCTGTTTCCAAAGGATTATACTTGAATTGGATGAAATTTTGTGAAATTGAAGAAATCTCATTATGATGAAGTCATTATTAATTTGACAGGTTGGAAAACTCTAGGGCCTCTCAAGCTCTAGTAATTTGCTAAAATGCTAAAACTTTGCTAAATTGTAAAGTAGAAAGATTATACCTTTTATGATCAAGGCCCTTATTAAAGGTTAAAGGCACATACAAAAATTTAGGCCTTCTTTGATTGATACAAACATGGCTAAATGCACATACGGTGCTCTGTTTAGGCCTTATTCAACTGATTTTAAAAAGGCTCTCACACACTTTAGACACTCCTCTTCACAGAGGAACTATATCCAGTCTGTTTATCATAATATCGATTCCAAAGCATACTGCTATCATATTTTGGTGACCCTTTGGCAAATTTCAAAACCTATGATGTAGTACTTGTTTTGGGACATAACCATTTCCAGCATCTGCCTTTGCCTTTGAAGCTGGATGACCAATGAAAAACTCCTTGCCTGTACTGAAGATGTCTATTGCTTCCATGAGTTTCTGAAGTTGTTTGGATTGTCGGAGTCGAACTCACAAGATGGATTGTCCCCTATGAAACGAAATGTCCAGACTCCCTGAGAAAATTCATGTTGAATTTTGGATGTGGAAATTTTACCCGTAGCGAACTGTTTTTTTTGAGTTTGACATGTTAAAAACCGAAGCTTTTTTGTGTGGTTGACAACGATTTATTATAATTGTTAGAGAAAGTTAATAACATGTTCTTTTTTGCTGGAAATTTTCAGTTCTGATTATATTTCTAAGAGTAGTTATATGCTATAATGCCTTACATCAACTGATATTGAGGTAATAATGCTTTAATATTCTACAAGTGCAGTATCCTTTTGGGAGCCAATTCGTTCTTGAGTTTCTAAGAGTAAAAGAGCATTGCTATGCACCCTGTAGCTGTATTTGTCAGAGAATTTAATAAGGGGAGCAAGAATAAGCCAATCTATAATGGCTTATATAGTTACATAAGCCATTACTAATAAAGTAGTAGTTTAGCTAATAAAGTAGTAGGGCTTTAGCCAATCTGCTTGTAGTGTTCAGTAGTTTGCATAATGTTTCTCTGCACAGCTTTGCTAGAATAAGTTCCATTTTTGGAATTTACAGCTATATCTAACAAAATTAGTTGTTGCGCCCAATTTTTTGAAGTAAAAGAGAAAGGATGTTAAAAAATGAGTTTTTGGATTTTAGAAAATAAAGAAAAAGGGTCCAAAATAAAGTATCTTCTTTATTTTAACATCCTTTCTCTTTTAATGAAAGAAGACACATCATGCAAATGAAAATAATCTAAAATCAAAAAAATGCATGAAATGCAATAAATGTCACACAAATGTATGAATCTAGCACATAAATGGTCTAAAGGGTCTAGCGTTTTACAAATTCTCACTAGCATTGGACTAGTGAGAAATGGGGAGAAAAGTCAAAACTAGTGTTGGTCTAGTATGGTGATGTCATGCACTCATTATAAATAAATAAAACATATAAAGTATAATTAAAGCAAATAAACACATAAAACACATAGAGCATGTAGAGCACATAACATATATGCATACTATTTAGATGCAAAACCCTAGAAAAAATGAATAAAACACATAAGCACACAATAACTAACTATTACATTGAGGGCCCTAACTACAATTTAAAAGGGGAAATATAGATAATAAACCTATCTAACCTATCTATTACATTTATCTACCTAATTACATTTCTTGCAAAAAATAAAACTATCTATTACATTGGGCATCTAATTATATTTCTTGCATAAAAGAATATTACCTATCTATTACAATTTGGGCATTTAAATTGCCTCCAAATATTCACAAGGCTTAAATTAAACATGCATAAAATGAATAAAAGCTTAAAGTAAATAAGTGAAAGAAAAAAACACATAAACTTATAAACATACAAAAGCATATAGGAGTTTTATAAGTGAAAGAAAAAAACACATAAACATATAAACATACAAAAGCATATAGGAGTTTATAAAAGAATTTAAAGGGTAATAAGTATATCTCTCTTTTCAAGTAGTGGCTAAATGAGGGGAAAGGAAAGTTGTCTATCTTTCCAAAATCAACAAACGGGTCAATACACTAATTTAATTAATAATACTTTGAAGGAGAATGAAAACATCTACTAAATTCCCCTTATTATTGCAAAAATGTTAATAAACATAAGACATCTAAAATTTACCAATTAAATGTATTTAAATGAAGAACAATTAATAATTAATGAAGAGAAAAAATTGTAATTGAGAAATCAAAAGACTAATAGGGACTAAATTGCAAAAATTAAAAATTTTTGGGGTTAAATTATAATTCTCAAAAAGACTACGAGTCAAAATTAAGTAAAAATAAAGTTTAGGGATCAAAATACAATTAAATTAAGGTCCTAAGTCAAATAAATCCAAAATTTTAGGACTATAGTAAAATTACTGAAAAGATTAGAAGCCAAATTACAATATTCATTTCTGATTCCATAAGAAAACAATATTGGGCCATTTTAACATACTTGGGCCGCACAACTCTAGCCCAAGAGAAGAGTGAATATTGTCTTGTAAAAAAAAAAAAAAGAAAATCCAACTAAAAACTCGAGAAACCTATTAATAAACACATTAGGCCTAACCACTCCAAACCTAGACAAAAACTCAAACAAAAAAAAAAAACTCTAGCCCATGTAAAAGTAAAGAACAAGCCCACATTTCTTTTCTTATTTTCTTTTTCTTTCTTTTCTTTCCTTCTTCTTCTTCCCTCTCCTTCTTCTTCTTTGGCAGATTGAAACTTCAGCAGTCGGCAGCCATGGTTGACGTCGTTGCCGCCACAGTCGGACTGCCGTCGGCAATATTTTTTATTACAAAAACTGACCAAAATACACCCCCACTCAATTTTTCACGTGAAATTCATTTCTAGCCTTAGTTTTTACAAAAAAAAAAAAAATGAACGAAAAACACTTAAAAGAGCAAATTACAGCCGGGTTTTGTGTTTTTTAAAATCATTCAAATCTTCACCAAAAATTCATAAAATTTATACCAAAATATTCCTTGTGATTTCTACAATCCAACCATAATTCACGGTTTGCAGCAGGAAGTGCAAATACAAAAGGTTAAAAAACAAGCAGTAGCAAAACTCACTCATTTTTTTTCGGACATTTTATCAAACACTTGGAATGCATGACATGAAACACTACTTTTACTTGTAAGGCTCACATAAGTAATCCATGAATTCAAGAAGCATCCAACAAACCATTCATCAAATTTTTAGTTTCATTCACAAGACTAGACATCAACCAAAATCAAGAGGAAAATATATGATCCATACTTTAACATTATTGCATTAGAAACTTGAGAGGAAGGAAGGGAGAACCTTTACAATGTCTTGTTCTTCAATGGCAACCCCAGCAATAGCAACAAGTCTTGTTTTTCTCTATTTTTTTAAATTTCTGATGTGTGTGTGCAAATGCTTGTGTGGAGTGGAGAATGTTATTTGGTGAGATTTGGAAAGAGAGAAAGAGAGCCGATGGAGAGAGGAGATTGAAGAGAAAAATTTTCTAATTATGGAAGAGGGAATGCTTGTGTGTGCAAGTGTGTGATGGTGTTGGTGTTTATGTGTGTGTGTGAAATTTGGGAGAGGAAGAGAGGGAGAGAGGGCTCTGAGAGAAAGAGAGAGAGTTGTGTGTGCTATCAGGGGAAAAAGAGAGAGCCGAGAGAACCCCAAGTAGAGAAAAAAAAGAGGAAAAATGGCCCAAAAAACCCTTCTTCTAATTTTTGTGGGGTTGTTATCCATTTGTATGGGACAAAAAACCTAAAATTGATGGTTAGGATAAAGTAGGATTATGGGTCCCATTCCCCTCCCTTTGATCTATTTTTTTTTGTATGTATTAAAAGATAGAATTTAGGATGTGATAAGTTATCCTTGTACCACCCAAACCTTGGGGAGAAAGAAAGAATGAAAAAAATCTAGCTTGGGTTTTGTGTAGCTTTGGCTTAGGTTAAAAGAAATGAGGAATATTTTTAAAACTTCCATTTTTTTTCCTTTTTCCTACAAAATAACACAAAATAAAATGATTACTTAACAATAATATATATAAAATTAAAGATTCAATGAAAATGAAGATAAGATTAAACAAGGTATTTGGAAAAATTTTGGTGTCTACATTAGTAGTAAAGGATCAAGTAAGTCAAGAGTGTAAAATGAAATCATTTTACGTAACCATAGATAGCAAGCAACAATCCTAGATAAAATACAAAAGGGAAACTAATTGGTGGTATCAACTAAGCTAAAGTGAAGGGAAAAGAAAAAGAGTAAGTAGTATTAAACCACTATTACCTTGCCCTTTTCTATTGCCTCACCAAGAGTAATCAGTTTCTTATTCGTTTGCTTGATTCATAATTTCATAAGGCTAGTTAGCCTTATCCCCACATAAGATTAATTTGTACTAAAATTATGTCTTCAAATCATGAATGGTTGCTTCTAATGTTTTCTTTTGTTAATGGATGCTTTTGATGACCAATTCAGATAGAGAATTTTTTTTTTCTGTTGTTAATGATTGACTTTTTTTATTTTAAGCATTTTAAGTAATATTCTGCTAGGTGCAAGTTGCTAGACTGGCAATTTTCTCTATTATATACCTTACTTCATATGCTCTCATTGCACTATTTGCAAATATACTTGTAGGTTCTATATTAGTTTCTTGAATGATTTCTTTGGTTTTTGTTTTGATTCATTGATGTATTTCTAAGCATCAACATTGTCATCATTGCAACTTCTTTACAAATGGACTCAAGAGACAATTGGGTGCATTTATACCCCTGTTCTTCTGGTTTTCTATTATTTTTTAGGTACTTGTAGCTTCTTTAAACTATGTTTTTTATATTTTGTTTTTCCTTATTGAAAAGGTACAGTAATTCTTTTACCTCATTTATCCAACTACATGACCATTAGAACAAACACAATAAAATAATTTGATCAAGACCCTTGAACAGCTTACTCCTAATTCATGGATCGTAATCTCAGAAATAGGGAATACATAAAATACTCAAAGGAGACAGAGTTATAGTCTGAACATAAGAAAACTCAACTAAAGCATCTTGTAGGTAAACCTATGCCTTCTCCTTGCATGTGCACCTTGCATCCAAGCAAATTTGTTTGGGATTATTTTCTAATCATGGTATATGGAACACTGCAAAATTGATAACCATATGAGTAATAGCGTAAAGGGCCATATATATGTATATATATATATATATCTATATATTTACACATTAGCAAATCATGGTTTTATAGTACTTGAAGGAACAAAAATTGAAGTATGTGATTTGCCTACTTGCAAGTATTATAAGACCTTGTTATTCTGAATCACTTTTTCTTAATTTAATTTAACAATGAATGTTTTGACTTACAAATTTAATCTTCATCATGTCTTTGCCTCAAAATGTTGCCAAATGGAAAATGCATTCTTTTACTTCTTATCAAGTTGACAGTAGTTGGAGTCTTGATTTGTATGACTCTTCATTCAAATTCAGTAGTAAGGTTGTAATAGCATATTTTTTGACTAAAGTCTATTCTAATGCATATAATACTTTATTTCCAATGCAGTCCAGCTTGATATTGATCATGATGAGGCTGTTGGATATGATGATAGAGATGGTTAAAGTCTGATACTAGTGGTGCAGTCTATGCTTTAGTTTAGAAATCCACTACTCTATTTTTTGGGAAAGATATGTATTGGCCATTAGTGAACTGATTATGTAGGCTTTAGGATCCAATATGTTTTGTTGACTCCTATTTTGATGAATTTACATATGTTTATTGCCATATATATGAATTTGTAGCTTCATTCTACGTTAATTTGGCTTTTTGTCAAATTAAATTTCTGCTATAATTTGTTGAAAATACTATGGTAATGGTCAATTTCAACTTTTCAAAACAAAGCTCAGTGACGACCTTCAAATGTTGTCACTGACATGCAAGTTCACTAAGTGACGACTATTTTTGTCACTGAATAACATGATTAATAGTGACAAGCTTAGGTCATCACTGTAGACTTCAAATTTGTGATGACTTTTGCTATAACTATGACAAAAAAATAGCTGAAGCAGTGACAAGAAAAGTCATCACAGAATGATATCCATTAGTGATGACTTTCTGTGAGAATCCCGAAAATATATATAAGCCAGTGCATATTTCATTCGCATTTCTTTTATTCCTTAATAATTTCTAGCATTACCTTCACTTGATTGCAAATAAGTGCGTAGAAATAAATTTTATGTGCAAAATAAAAGAATTGTGCTAAACTATTAAATTTCCTAGTTTTGATTACATTAAATTCATATTTCGAAGGTAAATTATTTCATTGATTTAACAAATAATTTCTTCGAATTCCGATAGCTAATCTTAAGCGTTAATAATGATTAAGTTAATAAGTTTTGATATAAAAGGATAAACGAATATTAAGAATGTTAAATTCATATATTAAGGTCAAACTTGATTTTTATGGTTTAAATAATTAGGTAATAATGTTAGGAATTACTAGGAACCTTAATATTAAATTGTGATCGATAAATATTCGATAAAAATGGTTTAAGTATACTAGTGTATAATTAGGCGTTCAAATCACACTTGGGGATAATTTTTGGAGCTAAGTTAGAATGGAGAATTTAAGTAGAGGTTAGGAAGCAGAGTGAAAAGACTAAAATGCCCTTACAACCCCAACGTTTCCATGCAAAACCAAACAATCCCTCTGATAGCATTTCAATCACCGCCTCAATCGACCAATCACATTTTCACCAATTCTATACGCAACCATTTCATACACTCCAAAACCGTAAACCATTCTTTCTTCCTTCTCCAAAACCGCGGCACCATATTTCTACCTCATTCCTATATCACAAACCACCATTCCCATTTTCTCTGCACAAACTCATCCAGACCACAACCACAAACATTTCCTCTCCAGCCTCCACCTCGTGAATATTGACTGAGAGAGAGTGAGAGGCCGGGCTGCACCCTGCAAGCCGAGAGGAAAGGAAAGAAAAGAAAGGAAATCGCGCGAGCTGCAACCTGTCCGTTCTGTCCGTAAACTAAAGAGGAGAAAGGAGGGAGGCTACGTGAGCTTCATCCCTTGCTGCAACCTCAACCAGCTACAAAACAACCTCAGAACCCAACACCATCACAGCAGCAACCAACCTGCAGCCACAAGCGAGCCGAGAGCCGAGAGGGAGAACAGAATTTTTCTTTTCAGATTTCTTGTGCCTAAGCTAAGTTGTTTCTGAGGTAATTTCTGGGCTATATTAAGTTAACTTTTAGTAGATGAAGCCATATCAGAGCTGCATGTGTTGCTTGTGAAGTCGGTTGTTGAAACCAGGACACCAGAAAAATTCTGTTTTGATGAAATGTTGCTGCCGAGAAACTGAGGTGATAATGTAGCTCCATTTTTGTTTTTCGTGGCAATCTGAACACCTAAGTGTCATTAGCTGAGTGAAAACTTGAAGATTAAGACCATGCATGTTGATTTGTGCATTCGGATGATGTTGTTAAAGCATAAAAAAAAAATTCTGTTTTGAAAAGAAAATGGTTGGCCGAGAATCGATTAAGAAATGCATGATGTAATCTGCTTTGTTGTGGTAATCAGAACCTGAAATTATGATTAGCTAACTTAAACTTGGATGATTAATATGATTAAGGCCTTGCATGTTAACTCTGTGCAGCCGGATGATGAATCAAGAAACATAAGAAATTCTGTTTTTATGAATTGTTGCAGCCGAGAGCTTGTCCTGTATTTTACAGCTTCATTTGATTCAATTTTGTTGTTTTGAGTTGTAACCATGATTAACTAGTTAATAACATGATAATTGAGCTTTGCATGTAGCTAATTAATGGGTTTAAATCAGAAAAATAAAATGAATTAGAAATCTGCTACACGTATGTTCGACTGAGGCCAAGCTAAACAGAATTTCTGGATTTGTTTTAGATGAGTAAAACTGTTGTTTGAATCTAATTTTGAACTGGAAATGTTAATTGGCTAGTTAAGAAATTGCATGCCAAAATTGAGTACTTAATATCATGTTTTAGCCGAGTAAAAAGTTGGACTATGACCAATTAGCTGCTAGAAATTCTGTTTAGCCAAGGACAGATTTATTGTGGTGGAATTAGTTGCCAAAATCACATGCTATTTGTTTTGTTTCATGTCGGAAAATTTTGATGGTGAGCTCTATGAACTCCCACCCTTGGATTGATGATGGATATAATGCTAGTTTAGTGTTTAAATAGGTAGATTAATGATACCTAGCTAGTCTAGATTCCAAGAGATGCATAGTTCAAAAATGTTCAGATTTGCCCTGTTTTAATCGCAACCCTTTTTGCAAAATTTTGAGGGTTTCATGACTTGTATATCATGTTGATATGTTGAATATATGGTGTACAAAGTTTCATTGAAAAATATTGAGCTTTGGTTGGTTAAATAAATCGATTTAACAAAGCTAGTAAATCTGGAAAACTGTTTTCGTAATGCTCTGACCCGCTTTTGTATTTCGGCCATAACTCTGTGCTTCGATGTCGAAATCGAGTACTGTCAGTGGCATTTGAAACTAGACATCCCAACCTTTCCAACGGTATAAAATGTATGTTCTGGTTCCATGTGTGTGAGCCGAACCAACCATTGAAAGATGACTGATCTGTTTCTCTGTTTT